TTCTATCCCTCTTTCTGAACCAAGAGTAATCTTGTGATTTGCAGAGAGGGCAAACAAACTGATTCCGGCCAGTTACTTTTAATGATGAATTTTAAAATATCTGTCTGCCTTTATTTTTCATCTGTATTGACTTCTCTTTTCTTTTTGCAGGTAAAATCAATTGAGCACATGGGAGCATCAGAAGACTTAGGATAACTTTAGGATGTAGTTTTATTTTCCTTTTAATCATTGTAACATTATTATTGTAAATAAATTTACAGTGTTCCAATAATAATTTGTAACAAACAATTAAAGATGAATAAAAAAATCCTTCTTTGTCAGTTAATTCCTTTTTTCAATTCACTGTTTATTTAATTATTCAAGTTTCTTAAATTAAAATAATTGGAAGTAAATCCCAACTATTCTAACTTAGAACAAACAAATAATTAATAAACACTGTCGTCTTGCAATCAATAATAAACCCGGCGTCTCAAATTAACCATAGCAATGCACAGTCAATCACAACAAATGCTCAAATGTCCTTTCCTTTTACTGATTAAATCAAACATAACAAACTCTCAATCAGAAGCCTCAATCCATATCTCAGGGTAAATTGAAAAGAACCGTAGAATTAATTCTTTCTGAGAATGTGCGCACAAAACCTAGTTCTTGATTAAATTTTCACATAAGTGCCTGCCTGATCAAACCTGATCCAACTCAACCAAACCCTAGCAATCTGCTTGAACTGTTCCAGAGTCCATGAAAACCCTAATTTGGCTAGACTGACAAGAAAAAGTCTGTTTGACTGATTCTTACGCCAATTTGAAAAGTCAGGGAAAACCCGAAGCTGTGATTTCTTGTGGAAAAATAGGAGGGAAAATTTTGGGGTACAACACACATGTTGGAGATTAAAAAGATTCAATCTGATTTCGAGGAGAATTGTTAGTTTCTAATTATGGAGATAATTTAGGAAACTAATGATTGATGTCCTATCTTTGAGGAGATAATTTTGCAGCACCTCTGTCATATCCAGCTGCATATGTGCAGCCCAAATGCAGTTTTGTGAATGTTATAGATAGAAGGCTTCAACCCTAGTACAAGTGTGGAACTTACTGTGTATTTTTATTAGGTTTTGTGTGTTAATTGTGATCCTCTCGATTATCATCTTGGTAAAAGAGTAGGACTTTGTTTTGAGATGTAAGTTTTGTCAGTCACTCCAAAGCTTTTAAGTAGTGAATGGTTGTGTGTATTTGAAGTGTGACTTATGTGATTTTCTATGTGTTTAGAGTTGTTCATCTATTGTTCTGTGATTGGAAGGAATTTGAGAAGAGTCTCATACTTAGGTGAGTCTTAGGTAAAATTTGAGCAAGGGTAGTGATTAAGTGAGAAGTTGTAAATGGGAGATTTTAGCTTCAAATTGATACTATCTAGTTGATTTTGTCTCTGACTTGGTAGCCTCCAGAGTATGTGTTGTTGTACACCGAACTGGGTTAACAATCATGTGTGTTCTTTACTTTTTTGCACTCTGTTTATCACTTATCTTGTCATTGTATGTTTGTTCAGAGAAAGGTGTCTCAACATCTCTTAGGACATCTGAGATCCGAATACCATATTTCAAAAGGAATTGACAAAATGAAGGCTTTCCTCCAAACCAAGTTTCAAACCAAAGATTTATGAGTCTTGATGTACTTCTTGGGCATTGAAATTACGTATTCAAAGAAGGGAATTTTCTTTCACAAAGGAAATATGTTCTAGATATATTGAGTGAGATTGGTATGATGAGATCCAAACCATGCGAGATTCGTGTGGATACTAGAGTTAAGTTGATAGTGGATGAAGTATAGAAGATTGATGGGAAATTTGAATTACCTAACTATTACAAGACCTAATATTGCTTTTCTTGTATATGTCGTAAGTTAATTTATCTCTTCCCTCACTAATACTCATTGGGAATCACTTATCTGCATCGTTAAATATTTGAAGAAAGCTTCAAGAAAGGGAATGTGTACCAAGATCATGAGCATATGTAGTTGGAAGCTTTTTCTGATTCAAATTAGCCAGGATGTACGGTAAATGAGAAGTCTACTACGCGATATTGTGCATTCTTCAGAGGCCACTTGATATCCTGAAAAAGTAAGAAACATAATCTAGTAGCGAGATCAAGTGCAGAAGCATAATATAAGGTTATGGCTCAAAGTACTTGTAAACTAATATGGATAAGACAAATCTTGAATGAGATGAAATTTTGAGAATAATTGACATATAAAATTGTGGTGTGATAGCCATACTGCCATACATATTACATCAAATTTGGTCTTTTAAATTTTGCCTTATATATTATATCAAATTTCATTATTTATATTCTTTCTTTCTCTCTACATAGATCTTTTTGTTATCTCTATAATTTAGAGATCTCACGTATAATCTTTTCACTATGAAAAATACATATAGGATTGGTGTCTAAAGCAATTCAAATTAATTCGTTCTTTTTGTCAATATCTCAACATATTATTCAAGAAAGAATGAACCGATTCATTAGTAATCGATGAACACTATAATATCCCCTCCATTTTAGCATCGCAACGGTGCGGGTCGGGGATGATTTTTATCTCTTCCAAATTCAAACATGAATCCATAAACAATCTTTGTTCCCCGCTTCAAATCCAAACAGGGATAGCGAATTAAAATCCAAACTCGTCCCAAACGGGTTTTGGTTGAGTTAGGATATCTCCCCCCACTACCATCTATTTAGTAAAATCAATTTTTTAAATAGAAATATTTATTTCTTCCAAAATCAAATTACATTATAAATGATAAAATAAAACAATTTCAAAAAAACCATACATACAAATAAATACAAATCAAATTATCAAAACATTTTTCACATATTTAATATTCTAAATTATCAAAAATAAATAATATTATGCATAATGAAATAAATGGAGCGGGCTCGGAATGGGTACTAGTATCCCCATTAAACCCAAACCTAAACTCAAACCAAATTAAAGCGAATTTTCTCCATCAACTTCGAAACGGGTTCAGTACTGACGAATACGAATTTTGTTACCATGCCTACCTCTAATCTAATTGAATATGAATCTATAGTCCAACTATTTCATATCGGTATCTAATAAAACTCCAAGATACCTAAAACTTTGCATTATGAATTTAGTAAAATGATCCATCACCTTTTTTTATAAAAAAAATCATTAACTCTAACCATTAATATTTCCTAATTTGTGGATATTTAATACATCGATAAAATTAGTTTTTCGATTTTTTTATGTTTCAAACAAAACAAAAAAATTGAACCAAAATACAATCGTTAATGTTATTGGTGCATGCATCTAATTTTACACTATGGCACCATGATCTCTAACGCACACAGTGATGTCATGTCAATCCTATTGGCGCATGCTTTGTAAATTTAAAAGCATGTGCTATCACCCCTGACGTATGCATGCTATTTTTGTATGAACGCACAAGGGTTTGATGACACATGGTCTTAAATTTATAAATCATACGTCAACAAGATTGACATGACACTATTACACGTGCCGGAGGTATGCATGGCAATGGGGTGAGGACAAATTTAAGAAGATCCAGTCTCGCTCTCCAGATCCAACCCCGCCCCCAAATCCGGTCGGGGCGAATAATTTGTCCCCCGCCACCAACAACGAACGGATTTCTCTGTATCGTTCCGGCCTCACCCGCATAAATTATAATTATTTTAAAATGCATATTTTTTTAAATAATAATAAAAATTAATAATTAAACTAAATAAATGATTATTTAAAGAATAATCATAATTCTTGATCATATTTATTTAACTTGTATTTTCAAAATAATTCTAATAAACATGATATTTTAACATTTTAATAGTGTAAATAAATAATAAAAATATTAAAAATAAGGACAATAAATTAAATTAATAGACATGGGTGGGTGCAACGGAGGTACTAGCATCCCCCGCCCACACATCCATAACTAAAAATTGAATTTTTCCTGCACTCGTCCCCATCCCAATTAAATCGGACTTTCCTCGTTAAATTTAGAGTGGACGGATCCTAATGGAGTCAGATTATTTACCATATCTAAACAGGGGTAATCTGTGTAAAATTAGGTGCATGCAGCAACGACGTTGACGCTTCAATTTTGATTCGAATTTTTTTTATTGAACATGATTAGTTTGAAAATTAAAGTGAAATGTTTGCTATTTGAGTTTTTTTTTTTTGAAAAACTTAGTTATTTTAGAAAAGAAATCTAGTTTTCCCATAAAATTTCATCAATAAAATCATTTGAAATCGTAATTTTAACAAGGAATGGGCCGCTGGAGCTTCGGCCGGAGCTATAAGAAATGAAAACAGTTTGAAAGGTACAGATAAAACACGAAAATGGAAACCAACCATCTTCCTGAAACCGAACTCAAATCTCACGAGAAAAAAAAAAATCATTTTAACATAAGAAAAATACCTAGTTGCAATGAGATAAGACTTCAGTTGTTAGATTAGTCGAAATTCACGAGTAACAAACTCACATGAATATGAAAAGAAAATGAAGGATCAAAAGTAAGTTCAAACAAAACAAAGAAATATTGGAATGAAAAAGATTTTGTTTTGGCGGTAAATTTCACATAATAAATTTATTTAAATCAATAAGGTCTGCAAGAAGGAACTACTGTACATGGAAACTAAAAACAAAAGGATATATAGGAGCTTTAAAATCAAAATGATTGGCACAAAAATGGCATAGGCAAAAATCCACAAGGCAATGGGCAAAAGCAACGTTACATCCCTTTGCTTCCGGTTATCCAGAACTTGCAGAACAGACGCCCAAAAATATTTGAATACTAGTAACACTTTTTTTGTACATTTTTAAACACTCGGTTGTAATCTTTTCTCAAAAATTCAGTTTAGTTGTCCGACGAATAGATCACTTTTTGACAAATATGTCAATCGCAGATTCTGTTCAAGAATGCTCAGTATAGTGTTTGCCATCACTTTTTGTAATTGTATGTGGGTTCAGTTGTGAAACACTTCTACTGGTATTGATGGAGGACAATACTTCTTCGCCACAAACTTGAACTGCAAAATCAATTAGTAGTTTGTAACTGTTGATAAAGATGAACATCATGACATAACATGATAAAAAAAGTATTTAATAACAGACAAGAACATTAACTACATGCATTGCAACCTTGACTACATGAAGTTAGTTTCCCACTTTAAGAATCCCACAGAATCCAAATTATTAAATTAACAATTCAAAATCCTTTTCTGTTTACTGAACAATCCCCACCCTCAATTCTCACGGATACTGAATAATTGACTAAGATTTTCTTATCATGAATTATAGCTATACTTTATAGATAGATATCCTAAATGTTTTAGTGCACCTCTTCCTCTAATTACTACTATCTTCCATTTGATTTACCCTTCTACTCAGTGTGAAAACATGTTTTATAGAATCCATATGATTAACGCAATAAAATAAATTTCCGTCAATTCTCAATATGATTATCTCTTAATCAAATATTTGTTTAAAACAAAAACTGATGAATGAGATGCAGAAAAATGCCAAGAGAGCAAGAGCAGGGTATTCTCACCTTATGCTGACTGTATTTCTCTCTGATAGCAGTAATGGAAGGTGGATTATGATAGCCATTGCAGTACAACAAATGCAGTCCCTTGACACATTCATGCAATTCTGATGCTTGGTACCCTGTGTAATGCCTTAGCATGGAGTTCTATACCAAAACATATGCATAGTTGCACAACATCAGTATATATTCCTATCATAAGAAAAATGTAGTCCTATCTAGATAGGTTTCCGGCAATACATACCCAAGGTTTCTCCATAGGAAGAAGTATGTATTTAGCCAAGAAAGTGGCTGATGCAGCTATTAGTGATGGGGTGTACTTAAGCATATCATACTCTATAAGTGATAACTCTGCTAGATAGTCGGCCAAATACTCCAACTGCATCAATGGAACCTGAAAACAGTAAAAGGTAAACATCTCAATAGGTAAATTAGAGAGATAAAAAAGAATCTCAATTGAAATACATACCTCACATGTTTGTTGGGCAACCGTAATGAAGCGTCTGCATTGGCATGTTCACAAGTCAATACTAAAACAAACTTACTCCCACTTGCACTAGTCAATGATATAAAGAAAATCAGTCATTACCTCAAAAAACATCTAGTCGTAGGAGCTGTCATTTCAAACTTCAAGAAATTCAGCACAGAGGACTCCATCTCCAACACCTGGAATAATATCACACATCTATTGTTTTGGGGGACTAAAGCCACAAAAGTACCCAAAATTGCAGTCATGGATTGATCAATAGATAAATAAAAAACAAACCTGCTCCTTAGAATATGTATTATCAGTAGTGTAAACAAACTCCTCCACCTTGGGGGAACAGATCTCCTCGTATTTACTGCCAAATTCAAACTAATTTATAACTTTATGGAATACATATACAAATACTGGACAATACAGGAAAACAGGTATTTGGAATGAGCATTGTACAAAAAAAAAATTAAGTTGATATTACTTAGCAAACAATATTTAAGAGATAAGAACCCTACGCGGCAATCATCATGCAGGAAACACCAAGTAGTTGTAACCGCTGTCTGTTCATTGCTTTGCCTGAAAGATAGCGATCAAGGTAGTTAACTGCCAAAAATAGTGTATCAGGTAGAAGTCTGGACTCTTCAGCAACCTACAATGGAGAGAAAAATCATGTGAAAAACATTTGAAAAGAAACTCAATGAAGAATATAAATCTTCCCGTGTTCCCTCATGAAGAAAAAAGACAAAAAGCAAGTTTAATGAATCTTATACACATAAAAGTTACTAGTGCCTATTTTGTTTTAGGACGTAGGGGCTTTCCGTTTTGTATCGGACGGAGTATCCCTTATACTCCTTTTAGTAATTCCATTGCCTATTAAAAAAAAATGAATCTTATACAAATAACAACCAATCCTACTGCCATTGCTTTCGTATCTTTACCTCTCCTAACGTGAGGATTTAAACCTCTCAATGACTGACACAACAAGGTAAATAGAATAATATTGTCAAATAAACTTTCTAATGAAACATATAGTCCCACTTATAAGGATATGATGGGACATGATAACATATAACATTTAGTTCTCAAAAAACAGCACATTGAGAAGAACAAATCCCCTGGAGTAAATTTATCACCCTGGCAGTACCATCACCCACCATAGTTTACCTCCACAAGCCAATCAATAAGTATTGCCCGCATGCCGGCATTGATGTCTGTCTGTATCTTCTCCATGAAGTCTATAGATGGCCTTTTAGAATTCTGAAAACCAAAGCAAGAGATGAAAAATAAGTAGAGAGAAGATAAAAGGAAATATGAGAGAAAGGAAAATATGTACAAGTTTAAGTTCTTTTTAGTAATTTATCGCCTCATCTTGTGTCAAAATAGAAGACACAAGCCCTTCAAGAGGGCTCAATCACATTAATAAGTTTCTTAAGATAATTCAATTGTTAATTTTATCAATTATTTTGCAATGAACATGAATTCCCCCCCTAATTATCATATAACATAATTAGTATTCTTTTCGACAAGAATATGACTTTTACAATTATTAGCTATTACTCCAAATCTTTCTCATAAACATTAAGACAAAGACAAAGGTTATAAAAGAAATAATTGATACAGTTGATATGTGCATTAGACAAGCTTAGTTGGAGAAGCAATTCAATTTAATTTTCGAATATAGATTGAAATGATACATCATATATTTTTAAAAGAAAGCATTCTATAACTGTACTCCACATAAATTTTTCCATGCGCTACTTCAAGAAGTTCATGTTTTCAAGTAGTAACTAACATTTACTCTATTTACAATTTACAATAAATGGGACATAAGTTCTATTGAACTTCCAATATATCACAAGTCTGGCTCTCAATGCTTAAGGTGTGTTTGGATTGATGGTATAAAGTGAAATATAGTAGAATGGGCTATATTTGTAAAACAAAGCATTCTATAATTGTACGCCGCATAAATTTCCATGTGTTTCTTCAAGAAGTTCATGTTTTCAAGTAACTAGCATTTACTCTATTTATTTATAATTTACAATAAATGGGACGTAAATTCTAGTGAACTTCCAACATATCACAAGTTTGACTCTCATGGCTTAAGGTGTGTTTGGATTGATGGTATAAAGTGAAATATCGTAGAATGGGTTATATTTGTAAAATAAAGCATTCTATAATTGTGTGCCGCATAAATTTCCACGCGTTACTTCAAGAAGTTCACATTTTCAAGTAACTAACGTTTACTCTATTTATTAACAATAAATGGGACATAAATTCGATTGAACTTCCAATATATCACTCATCTGACTCTCATCGCTTAAGGTATGTTTGGATTGATGGTATAAAGTGAAATATAGTGGAATGGGATAACATTCCTTACTTAGTTTAGATTTTAAAACACAGATGTTAACTTATTTCATTTCATTCTATTCCAACTCCATTCCAGCCTATAGAACCAATTCAAACACTCTCAGAGACGAATATTTGCATTAGTTAATTTAAGATAACAAGCACAGACAAGAAATTTCTAAACCTACACAAGCATCATATGAATCCAAAATGTTATTCTGCTAGCAATCACATTGACAATTACAACAAGTGACTAAAGCATTAAAATAAATGAAGTTGACAAACCTCAGATACACGCAAGTTTTCATAGATTTCACAGGCAATGGATGCACAAAACTGTGGGTCTTTGATATTGAAGTCAATGTCAACAATTTCATTTGCTCTTGACTTCAGTACGGAGTCAATATCTTCTATTCTCCCTAAAATCAAGGGAGGATGCATGAGAAGGGCAACAGAATGAGTATTCCAGATTAAAATTTGGAATTATTGATAAAAGTATTATCCAAACTAGCCAAAGCATATGGAGAGGGGGCGAGTATAAGATTAAGCGTTTAATAAACCAACCTGCCATTTTGGAAGAGTCTGAAATATTGAGAATGTTGCACGTTCTATTTTCAATTGATTTGATCGACGCAACATCGTCTTTGAATTCCGGAGTCGTCAAAGAATCAGTGGTTGACATGCTCTCATCTAGTGAAACAGAACCACTAAAGGTGTTACTAGCAGAAATGTCCATCCATCTTGGAGCACAGACCACACTCTTAAAATCAGTACAAACAGCCCCATCACTACTTGGCGCTATGGAGGTTTGAACTTCAGACTTCGTTTGACTAGTTTTTGTCAAACACGCCTCTTTAGCAGGCACCAATTCACTTGATTTTACTCTCAATGGAGGTTGCAAAGTGTTCTTAGACATAACATTTTTCTTTGAACTCGCAATCGAATCCTTCTTTGTCTTTGCTGTTTTGGATGCACACGGAACCTTCAAGTAACAAAAACAATTCTGTTAAGTAAATAAATAAAACCAAAATTTTAAAAAACAGTTCGTTGCCGCGAAAACGGCCACAACAATACCAATACCGTTATTCATCGTTTTTATGATGAAAAATTAACTGTGGTTAATTAACACCACGACTACCGCAATCAGTATTACAACACCTGAACCGACCCGAATCGCAAAAGTTTTTACGCGACCGCGGCCGTTAGTAAAACCTTGAATCAAACACATATATATATACTTTCTCACTTAAAACCAAACTCTTATTAATTGTTTTGTATATTTCATCTGTATTTGCAAAAGTTCCACATTCAAACATAGTGGGCCCTAATCTTTTTGATAAAATAATCCTAAAAAAGGTGAACCTCGCTATCACTATAGGTTAAACCATGCATGTTAACAGCGATGAACGTTGTTTATTAGTATTAGTTACTCAAACCTTATTCAATCATAATTCAAACAGTCATTGAATATTCCTTCACAAATTCATTAAGATTAAGTGCCAAACTAATCATCATTAACATACTTAAATTGAGTAATAATAGTAGATAATTGTAACAGTACCATAGGTTTGGATGCGGAACCCAAAGAGGTTTTGACGTGAGAGGCATTTGTGTTATTGGTGACTTCGGCGAGAGCGGGACGTTTCTTCGTTAAACGAGTCTTGACGGCGTTGATGATCTTTTTGTTTGCAACTGAATCATTTGAATTCTTGTCGGAGGATGAAGAAGATGAAGCGAAGCGTCGGCTTCTGGTAAACATTTTCGCGTTTGATGAAACAAAACCCTAATCGCTGTGAAAAAACGGGAAATGAATCGGTTATAGTATTGTGAGTGAAGAAGTGTGTAATAGAGATGAAGAAAAAAAAGAGAGTGAATAAGTAACGTACCTGAGAGTTCGTGTGGTGAATGATTGAAGAAAACGAGGCAAATGGTTTTTAGGATTCAGAGGAGGAGAATGATGATGATGATGATGATTGTAGGTTGTTGTAAAGAAGGCAAAAAAGCACGCAGAGAAGTGAGGAGATATATTCGTATGTGAGCGCGAAATGGACTTGTTTGGATGGGTGATTGTTACCGTCGGATTAGAGTTGATTAGATATCTGGACGGTTCTTCTTTTGCATGGATGGTAGATGTACTATGTACTATAAAATTAAAATATGTAGGTGATAATATAATTAACTTTTATTAGTTGTTGATGTAGGTAATTTATATCGTTTTAAAAATAATATTTAAAATGATGAACCATGGTTGTAAATATTTAATGAGAAGATTCATAGTTTAATGAATTTGAAAGTTCGATACAATATAAGATAAAGATGCCGCATTTTGTATATTGTTATTTATTAGATTTGATTTTTGAAAGCAATTTGGTGGTGATATATTTGTAATAGAGGAATTTAAAAGTTGGAATAAAAAAAATTTACATTTGCATCACATGTTCGAGGCCCTAATTGTGTTTGTAACAACGTTTGGAGGAAATATAGAGATTTGATTAATCAAAATCATCATATTAAGGTTGTGATATTTAAATAATATGAACAAACTTGTGACTTGTATCAAAGGCGGTTGATAGCTTCAGTTGATTGTTTTTACTATCTATTGAAGTAAGGGTTGATATTTTGTGGTCACGATGAATCAATCAAATCTTTTAATTTATGAAACTTTATTTAAATGTTGATGGTATTTTAAAGAAAAAAAAAAGAAAGTGAGACGAGTTGTATTAGAAAATGCTCCCAAAAAAAATCTAAGAATGACTTCTCTATCAATTCAAAGAGATGAGTTGGAGTAAAATTGGTTAATACCATATCCCTTAGGTTTTGATGATAATAAAGTATTTAAAGAACAATTGGATAGACTAATATGTGTTCAAAATGAAGGTGTGAAGAAAACACAAAAAACGGGAGTTTGAATTTGGTTTTTCACTCTTAACAAACTTTCGATTCTTAACATTATTATGTTAAGTGACGCTTTCGAATACGTTTTGAAAGAATAAATAGTAAAATATAAGCAAGAGTAAAGAAGACGTGATATATCCTGGTTCACTTGAGAAACCCTCAAGCTAGTCCAGTCCACCCTATCAAGGTAATTTCGCCTTGAACTCAAGGACTTAATTCAATAATCAAATAGATTATTACAATGAACAAGCTATCTGCAAGCGACTAACTACCACTAAGACTACCATCTGAGTCTTTTCAAAGCTTCTGACCTAACCGGTGCTTTGAGGAATACATTACCTTCTAAAGCTTCTGACCTAACTGGTCCTTTAGAAGAAACACAAAACCTTCTAAAGCTTCTGACCTAACCCGTCTTTTAGAAGGAACAAACAACTATTTGTTTTTACAAGGTTTGTTTACAAGATAATTCTTATACACAAGCAAGTGTAAACTCAATTAAGTACACCAGAAGATCCTAATACACACTAATAATATTACATTGTATTTTATTTCAAATGTGTGGTCTTCTTTTCTTCAAGTAGTTTCTTTACGGATAACAATCCAAAAGCACTTGAATTGCTAATTTTTATTCTTCATAAGCTTCTGAAAGCTTTATTGATATTGATGTAGTAAAGAGAAGAACTTATTCATCTTGATTAACCTTAGAACATTATGGACAACATCCATTGTTCTATTTAATTCATGATCATTTTAAGGCACAACATTCATGTTATGGATTTGTAATTGGAGCTTCCATGATCATCTTCATTAGGCTTAGAAAGCTTCTTAAGCACATTGTGAATCAATGACTTCATTGTTATCTTATAATTATCAACAATATGATTCAAGAACTATTTATTGTTCTTGTTGTTGTTATACTGGTTGATAATTTTTTGCGGTGTTCCAACAATGACAACTTCCATTTGAACATTTGAACAAGAACAATATTTTAAGCATATGATCATTTTCTTATATAGCCAAGCAAAATAGAGTTGTTGGCTATTGAAAAAGAGTCGTTACACACTGATGAAAATAGTACTGCCACGTATTTTTCTTTTCCATAATTCAAGCTAGTGGAGAGGTAGTGGGATAAGACTTTTCATATTGTGTACTTATCATTGCTAACGATGATATTTGTCTTTTGAACTTTAGAGGCTTCTGATGGTAGATGATTGAAGCATGAGTAGAATCGTGCCATTTGAATCTCCAGATAACTAAGTCTTCAGACGTAAGAACTTGTTCACTCAGAACCTTGTCCTTGAAACTTCAGCACTTGGTCTTGATAACCTTTCATAGAACCTTGGATCTTTAGAACTTTAAGTCTTCAGAACTTCATCTTCAGAATCTTTGGCTCTTGGTCTTGAGAAGCTTTTCTAGAACCTTGGGTCTTCAGAACTTCAAGTCTTCAGAGTCTTCAAAATTGCGTCTTCAAAGTCTTCAGCACTTGGTCGTGAGAACCCTTTTCTTAGAACCATGGGTCTTTATAAACTTGAGTGTGATACGGTGGGAGAACTGACTTGAGGTTTTGCGTTTGTGTTCGCAAATGTTTCGGTTTAGCAAGAGTCGCCACCGACTTTTTATTTTATCCAAAGGAAAGGTCAAAAAGCACATGAAAGACCTTTGAGATGTTTTCTTGGATTCGGGGGGTAGATTATGAAAAGGGAAGGTGCTAGCACCCTTTTCATCCATGGTTTTCCATGGACTCTTAGTTACTTGTTTAGATCACTTGCTTTTGCTTTTCAATTGTTTGAAATGGTGCTTTATGTGTGGTTTTGAAAATGTTTTGAAAAGAGGCCTTGTCTAGGCAACCTTTGTAATGATTCTTGTTTGAATATATACAAAGTTGTTTGTCTTTTGAAAAGATATTTCAATGTTTGAAAGTTTGTTTTGGGAAATGTTTTTTTTGAAATTGTATTGTGATGTGTTTTTGAAAATAGCAAGGATGTTTGCAAGTTTTGATCAAGTAACTAGGAGCATCTACCCTATCTACTCAAAGATCTTTCCTACATATTTTTAACCCTTTCACATTGTTGTTTTACCATTGTGTTTGGATGTTAAACGGGACAGACGTGGGTCATCATATGACCATGATAGCAATTGTGCCAAGTATCTTAGCAAATTTTTGAGGGACTAGATCATTTTTGTTAGGCAACCAAGATAGCGTCATCGAGGGACTATGATCTTTTTGTTTTGATTTGTTTTGCCAAGATACTCAACATGCATACCATGGCCATTTTAAAGGCAACAAGTGGATGAAACCCTAGGGGTGCATGTGTGCATTGTGTTGTCAATTTACATGATTTTATGTCTTGTATTAGGTCTAGCTATTTGTTTGATTTTTTGGATTTTTGGCATACAAACCCTAATCTCTATCATGGCATATTTGAAAGCTATAAATGCGTAAAATAAATCTACGACTATTACAACATTGATATGGGGAGGGGGATACAATTTTGAATAGGGGATTATTTGCAAGAAATTAAAACCCTAAGATTATTACAACCAAATTGAATTCTTTGTTCAAATAATAAATAAGCAAATATTTAAATGGACAATTAAATAAATAGGCAATATATTATAAATATGCAAAAAATGTTTTTTGTGTTATTTTTATGTATGTAAAAATAAAATATTTAATGTGTCAAAAATAAGAAAAAAATATTTTCATTAAGGGTGGAAACCCTAATTTGTTTTAAGAAAGTATATATATATATATATATATATATATATATATATATATATATATATATATATATATATATATATATATATATATATATATATATATATATATATATATATATATATATATATATATATATATATATATATATATATATATATATATATATATATATATATATATATATATATATATATATATATATATATATATATATATATATATATATATATATATATATATATATATATATATATATATATATATATATATATATATATATATATATATATATATATATATATATATATATATATATATATATATATATTATGTATTATTTATTTATGTACAATAAAATAATAATATATACAAATGTCAAAAAATAAAAATATGTTAGAAAAATATTATTTAAGTATATAAATAATAAAAAATGTAATATTTTTATTGTAGTATTTACAAGTTTTTTTTATTAAGAAAATAAATGTATATATTATTTAATAATTATTTCCATGTCCGGAAAAATAATAAAAAATAATAAAATAAAAATGTGAAAATTTATGAAAATGTTTTTTGGTATTTTTAATGTTTAGGAAAAATAAAATAAGGTCAGAAATGAAAAAGAAATAGAAAAATATGCAAAAAATAAACAAATGGGCTGAGGGGTGTAAATAGCAAGTCAGAGGGTGTCAAAAGTGGAAACAAAACAGGCCCAGCCCATGCTCAACTTCGTCTTCAACCTTGTGACAAAAACGCGCGCCTGGTATGTTCAAATCTGGAAATCCTGTATACGTGCTCTAAAGTAAGAACTCACAACACAAAAGTTATAGCATTTTTCAACACGATTCCAACCATGTAAAGAACTTAATCTAACTCTCAAAGACCAGAGAGAATTTCTCTGGCCCTAATTTCTAACCTAACTTTTTCAGAAAGTTCGTCAATCAAATTCTCCCAACACAGTTAACTTAAATGAAATCTATGCATATGTACAGCTTAAGGGCAATGAGTACTACATTTTTTATTCACAAACCTAAGCCTAATGATTCATAAATAGAGAGATAGAAAGTTGAAAAATACCTACTTCAGTTGAACTCGAGTATGGCAATGTGGAGGTTTTCAATGAGGCCTAAGATGCTTGGGAG